AATATGTTCATGTTTCTCGATGAACTTCTGTAAACGGACGATGGCCGAAAGATCTACTTTGTCGACAGCAAACGTAACATCAGTCATGGTTAAATGGGGAGAGTGTAATGGATTTATGTGTTATTTTCGACAGCTAATAATAATCGACGCAAAATCGACAGAGAAATATGTCAAATATTTCAGTTATAAATGAATTTCAACTTATCTCGTATCTAAATGCCTTCTACTTTCTTTCTGCCGTCTGAGGGCATTATAACGAAGAAGATTAAACAATGATATAAAAGAGGTTAAACGTGCATTTTGAAAAGTTACATTCTTAGTGCATTTAAGGTAAAATTTTTACATATGAATTCACGCAGGCGAATGGCTTTCGGTGATATGTGTTGGACGTGGAGGGATAAATCAAGGCTATTTGTATAGCTGAGATCTAAATCTTTTACCGATGGGACCTCTGTTATTTCATTATCCTCGAATATTATGGGAGGAAGTCTTGAGCGACCAAAAATCAGGGGATGGCATTTTCCGGGTGAAAAGGGCATCTGCCATTGACTACTCCATTCGCTGAGTACTCTGAGATCAGTTTCACTTGTTCTGTGAATATTGGCTACTGTATTCCCGTTATATGCGTATGCAAGTTTAAGGTCGTGCGCATATGAAAACGTCTTAGTTGATACTGATATGAACGATAAGTCGTAAATATGCATAAGAAATAGAAGGGGGCCTAGGATAGTGTCTTGAAGTACTCCACTTGTAATAGGGGATTGTTCCGAGACTACGTTTCGAAGCTGCACCACTTGATATCGATTTTGAAGATGCAATTTAAGAAAAACGAGAAGGGCGGCATAATTCCATGACTTTCTAGCTTTATCAGTAGTCTTTTATGCGGGACTTTGTCAAAGGCCTTTTTTAGATCGGAGTATGTTGAAGCTATTGTATTTGTATCATCTATATTGCTGGGAACGAATTCCAAAACAGTAGGGTGGCAGGACTGGCATGGCATTTTAAGTAAAATGCATGTTGAGAGGGGAGAATGATGTTGGCTTTTATGAGATGGTCTAGCAATTGGTTCTAGACTATTTTCTCGAGGATTTTAGCTATAGCCGATGTTCGGTGAACACAACGAAATTTGTGGGTATAAGATAGGTTATCGCTTTTAAAGATAGGTGCAATGTTTGAGAATTTCCACATGTCCGGAAAAATTGCCTTTGACTGGAGTAGGGTGAACAACTTACACAAGAGCATCGGAGCCTATGTCATATGCTTCAGAATACATGGGGGATTTTGTCCGTCCCATACGAGTGGGCGTGGGATAGTTATCTGATGGTTACTCTAACAGTTTATTCACTAAAGCGGATCTCACTAAGGATGCGTTCTGTCATTTCGGTCAGTTGGAGGCTCTCTCCCTTCTCGACTGTGTAGTTCGTTGACAGGTATTTGTTGAATGCGTTTGCTATACGGTTGTCATTTTTTATAACTTGTCCTAATTCACCGATAATAGTTTGTGGTCCCAGCTGTCGATGATTATTCATTTGCTTCTTAAACATCTGACCTATTCGTTCAGGGGATTCTAATGTCCGATGTTCTGCTACTATGGTTGTTTTGAGTTTCCATTTTCGTAACTAGGTCATGAATTTCCCTATTTCGTCGAGGTGTATATAAACAACTTACAGAAGGGTTGTGTAGCTGTTTCTTTAATTTTTTATTTTAGTTGAAAGGAAGTGTGGGATTAGTGACTTCTCATACGGGAGTCTTTCGTCTATCTCGAATTATAAATACGATAGAGTACAATAGGTTAACTGCTTCCATAGGGGATGTTGTTAGAAGATATGGGCTCCAGTCCAATGACCTAGTATAGTTGTTCATGGAGTCTTTGTCAAGTTTAAGGGTTTAAGCGGGTGTTACTAAAATGGGGTGCTAGATTTGCATTTAATGGGAGTGGTGATAGTATTGCTTTATGGTCACTTTCAAAGGTTACGCAGTTGCAGTGCATATAGATGGGCCAGATGTCATTCGTGAAAGTAACGTCTACTATGTTGTCTCCTCGGATGGGTTTGTCAACTATTTGTGTCCAGTTATTAAACATAATTGAAGATGACAATTCTTCGTGCCTGGTAGGTGCCGATAATTCGACGCAGTTTATTCTCGGCGGTTTAGGTCGCATACGATTATCTTATAATTAGTTTTTATGTTCGCTTCATTGTTTATTAAGTGGTTGAGGCTTGTGTTATCATTAGTACATTCTGGAGGGGATTACAGGCATCCGACTAGTATGTTTTCCTGGACATGAGATTTTATTGTGGCGAAGCACACCCCTCCAGCTAAGGTTTAGGTTGGGAGATCAATATCACTTTGTTCACTGCGAGTATTAATGTAGACAAGACAACCTCCACCTCGTTTGCTAACACGATCCTGTCGATAGAAATTATAATTTTGGATATATAGCGAGACATTCGATATAATTTCGTTTGCCCATTTTCCTGTAATGCAAATTATATCCGGTTTATATATTTCAGCAGAAGTTTTAAGTTGGGATATTTTATGGACAATCGGTTTTGAATTTATGGGAGCTATCTTTAGGATGTCGGATATGGAAGATGTAGGCTATGGTGAAAAAAAGGATTTCAGAGGGTTCGTTGATTGAGTGATGGACTAAATGAAGGTAAATGTGTGGTTCTTGGAGCATATGGAGATGCGTAAGGCGAAGTTTGAATGCATGGGTTGGTGTGTGTGGGTTGAGTGTACATATGGGGAGATGGGTTAACTAAGTGGAAATTGTTCGTAAAAAGTGTTTCACTTGGGGAAGTGTAAAAGTCGAAGTAATTTGTGGGGTTATCATTAAATGGTAAGAAGTTTAGAATGCTAGAATGGTTTGGCTTATTCCTATGCCATGCAGGTGGATTTTTGGGGAGTCAAAGTACAGTTATGGAACCTTGTTTGTTTCTGGTTAAAGTTAGGAGAACTTCTATTTGTTATATATCTATACGTAGAGCGTTTCGGCTGTACTGGTTTGCTTAATAAGGCCTTTTGGTTTGTGAGTCTTGTTTGGTAGTCGATTTTTAGTACTGGTTGATCGGTTTTTGGGGGGCGTAGTAAAACTTACTTTGCTATCTAGCGGCGTCACGTGGGTGGGTCCGGTATCGGCGTCATCGTTCTGTCCCAGTTGAACGTTGCTGTTTTTTTGTGCCTCCCTTGTTTCTTTCTGTCCAGCATTCCTAACTGCTTTTACAGTTACGCGTTTTTTGTCCTGAGAACTAAAGTCGGAAGTACTTGCTGGAGGTCCATTTACGGGGGCTATGGGTTTATCATTTTGTTTACGCTGGTCTGCGCATTTCTTTTCATTAGTGCCAGAATGAGAGGTAGTAGCTAGAGGTTTAGTTGTGGGGCCGGAGTGCTGAGTACCGTGTTTGTAGCTGGTGTCTGTTTCCCGAAGTTTACGTCTTTGCATCGGTGTCAAATCTGGGTCTATAAATGAGTTTCGGTTTCGCAGATTTCTGTCTAACTCGGGGATTTGTAGGACAAGCTCAGCTTCGGTCTGTGAGTAGAAGGTTACAAAGGCGGGTTTATTTTTGCTTCTAGTTTGAAGTCTTTTGGTGGTAGCTACTCGGTTGTTTAGGCCACACGCTGCATAAGTTTTTGGATTGATGGTGTCGGGTTAACCGTGTGGGGTATATTGCGCATAATCAAGTTGAGTCTGCGTTTTGATCTATTTGCGACTTCTGATGAAACCAAATGTACAATCGGTCCTATTTGTGGTAGGTTCGTTGACGCAGAAATATGCCAAATACTTAAATTATAAACAAGTTTCAACTTATCTCGGATCGGAGGATTTCGAACGGTTGTGCACAAACGGTCCCACTGCGACCGATAAAAACGTTAATCGGGGCAAAAAATTATAAACTTTCAAGTGATCATTCCACAAACTTCATTCGTTAACGGGGGGCTGCAAAACTTCAATTGAGAACTCGACAGAGTTTCTCGAGAAATTTAAAGCAATCACAAAATCTACGGATTAAATAATGGACACTTCGATGTCGTATCGCCTTCACGTCGATACTCCTAGATTTTTGTAAAACTATGCTCAGGACAACCACCGATGTCTTATGATAAAGATATTCCCACGATTGTTGTAGTGAAGCTCATAGATCAATGCTGGAAAACTAACTTCTCATTCGGCCGAAACTGCTAACATCAAATGAGAGGAGCTCCTATGGGGTCACCTATTTCTGGTTTCCTGGTTAACACTGCAATGTAAAAACTAGAGACTATGGCTCTTCCGGTAACTAACCCCGAATTGTGACTGACACATTTGTACTTGTTAAAAAAAACAATTGGAAGCACTCTACAACACTATAAACTCAACAATTCCAAGAATTGCAATCACGTTCGAAAAGGAATTCGACAGTTAAATACCATTTCTAGATGCTGTCGTACAGCGAAAGACTGACGGAACACTACTCACATCGATTTACCGAAAGGACTCCACTGAGGACGTAATTTTATCTTACGAGAGCAATAAGCCAATCCCTCACAAACGGAGTGCTTTCAACAGCCTGCTTAATCATGTGAAATGGATCGCTCTGACGAAGAAGATTACGGAGTTTAAATGAATTTCTTAAGTAAATTGTTTTCGCTGAATGATTATTCAAGGAATATTGTACGCCGATGCACGAAGCAGAAAGAGTCGGACAGAAATGAATCTCGTAATCCAAATCGGCACCCGAGCAAAACACTTGGCGAACTCCTCCTTTCAATGCGACTTACCGGCCTTGATCCTTTTTGGTTTCCTAGAGTAAAAAGATACTACTTTTATTATTTAGGTTTTTATATAATCGTACCTTTAACCCTTTTACTACTTTAGAACATCTTGTCCACCCTCGCCGTAACAGTCACTGTAAGGTGTTCTTCCTCTGACGCGTACCGTTAAATATGGTCGTTTTTTTCTGTGAACACAGATGCTATTAGGAACTAATTACACATTATGATAAAAGTGCAGCAAATTTTTTTGCTTAAGAGAACTATTACTTGCTTGTTGCATTCAGAACAACTCCCACAAATTTTGGATGCCGAATCCACCGATCGAATATCCCGTAGCGACGGCGTTCGTAGTTTTTCATCCCCATGGCCAATCTTGCCAGGGAAAATCATTAAGCCAACAGCGACAGCTGCTCTTCAGTGCTTCCGTTTCGTCCAGTCCCAAATTCTTCAAAAAGAAAGACGCCTGATAATATCCGGTGAAGTGCTACCCCTCCCTTTATTTACTGTCGTCATTTCGTCGGCGGCAGTTTTTCTCTCGTGGACACTCCAGCCTATGCAAAACCACCATCCTCTTTATTTAATTATCCGGGGTTTTTCACTGCTGGCCAGATTTGCACCCTAAGGATAGGGTTAACTACGTCGACAATAATGAGGTCGATTACAAGATCCCTAGTGATGCATGTGATGCCGTCTCCTGCAGCCAGAGCAAAAAGCACGCCCGTACGCGCATCCACGAACATCATTTGACGGAAAAGAGCCGAGATCACCTGCGTAATGTAGCCCTGTACAGACTGCATACCGGGCACACCTTCGCTTCGAAGAAAACCGGCACTGGCACCTTGCGTCCATACCTTGTTTAATTTACGAAGAAATAAATGCGCGAAATTGGAATTAATCTATTAGTCCTTTAAGTAGGTCGGAGTTCAATTTATATTTCTCCGAATAACTGACGTGGTTTGCATCCCGAGATGGTAAAATAAAATAGATAATGCCTTCAGAAAAATCGAGTTGTACTTTCGAATGTTTAAGTTGGCGACATCAAAGTGTCGTTAGGTGAAACGAGCAAATGTGAAAATGGGACTGGTAGATCAAATCGGTTAGCACGACAAGACAGACAGTGACAGACAGAGAGCTGATGCGCGAGAGTGATGAGCTCTAGGCTATTCTGTGTTTTGGGGGAAGGGAAAATCGTCAGGACCCCTGTGCGTGAGGATGAGAGAAAAAAGAAGAAGAAGAAGAAGAAGAAGAAGAAGAAGAAGAAGAAGAAGAAGAAGCGGGATAATCAGTGAGGTGATCAGTGGGAATGCGGGCGGCCGGTCACTGTTTTGGGATGAGGTGGAAGGTCAGTGCGCGGGCGTTGGATGTGTTAAGAGTTGTGGTTCCCCGTGTTTAAAGCGGGTGGCTTGTTAGTAAGATTATAAGTGGCCGAGTAGGGATTTACAGTTGCCAGGACGTGGGAAACAGCCAGCGATGGCATACGTTAACCCTATTCGTGGACTCATAGATCGATGTGGCCGTTGATGGTGGTCGTGCCCGAATGCGAAGCTTCGAGGACTTCTCTAGCCTGTCTGTTTTAGCCATTTTGGTCGCTTCATCGCCATCTCAATTGAAACGGTGATCACCCTCATGGGCGTGCACAAACAGGAGGGACAGAGGGTCACGTCGGCCAGCTGGCGGTTCATTAATGTATTGAATTTCCCATCAAAATTTTGCTGTACTAGGACATTAAGAAATGGGAGTTTTCTGTCAGCTTCTTTTTCGTGCGCGAAGGTGGTTCCTGGCAGTATTAACGCTGCCGCAGCGTTTCCAATTGATATCTCTCGGCAAAAACGAAGTTGTCATCTATATGCTGTATCCATAATTTGGGATTAAATAACAATAGGATCAGAACCTCCAGTTTTTGCGCCGTGATCTCAGTCAGAAAGCCAGAAAGTCAGGCGACCCTATAGAAAATCCTTACAACTGTTGATAGCATCTATGCCAGACATAAGTCCGAGAATGTAAGCAAAGGAGATGCAGGAACATCGATGTCGCAGGATTGCAGGAGTTCGTCCGTGCATTGCTTGGCAAATCGAATGGTGTGGATGTGAAAAGAAATAACATCGAAGGATGCCATTTTCTCATCAGCTTCGATTGTGCCGAGCATTTTCGAGGCGTCCTCAACCGCCCCTCCGTCATCTCCGACGCCGCCATCGAGCGCCTGCCGCAAGTGGAGACCAACGTGGACCTCGACCTCCCGCCATCTCTCCAGGAGACCATCAGGGCCGTGCAGCAGCTGTCCAGCGGGAAAGCACCCGGATCGGACGCGATCCCTGCTGAGGTCTACAAGCACGGAGGTCCCCAACTAATGGATCACCTGACTGCGCTCTTCCAAGAGATGTGGCGTCAAGGTGAAGTCCCGCAAGATTTCAAAGACGCAACCATCGCGCATCTCTACAAGCGCAAAGGGAATCGCCAAGTCTGCGACAATCACCGCGGCATCTCCCTGCTGAACATCGCCGGGAAGATCTTCGCACGAATCCTCCTCAACCGCCTCAATAACCATCTGGAACAGGGCCTTCTGCCGGAAAGCCAATGCGGCTTCCGTTGTCATCGTGGGACCACGGATATGATCTTCGCAGCCCGTCAACTTCAGGAAAAGTGTCAGGAGATGCGGACCCACCTGTACTCTACCTTCGTGGACCTGACGAAAGCCTTCGACACGGTGAATCCTGAAGGACTGTGGAAGATCATGCAGAAATTCGGCTGTCCGGAGCGATTCACTCAGATGGTGCGTCAGCTGCACGACGGTATGATGGCGCGAGTCACGGACAACGGAGCTGTCTCAGAGGCATTCGCAGTGACCAATGGAGTGAAGCAGGGCTGCGTACTGGCGCCTACCCTCTTCAGTCTTATGTTCTCTGCCATGCTGATGGACGCCTACCGCGACGAACGCCCCGGGATCCGCATCGCCTACAGGACGGACGGTCACCTCCTGAATCAACGGCGGATGCACTTCAAATCGCGCGTATCCACAACCACCGTGCACGAACTCCTCTTCGCCGACGACTGCGCCCTGAACACCACCTCGGAAGAGGAGATGCAACGGAGCATGGACCTGTTCTCCGCCGCCTGCGAGAACTTCGGTCTGGTCATCAACACACAGAAGACGGTGGTGATGCACCAACCGCCACCCAACTCGGCCACAGCCCCCAACGCGCCGCCGCAAATCAGCGTGAATGGGACCCACCTGCAAGTGGTGGAGAACTTCCCGTACCTGGGCAGTACTCTCTCCCGCAACACCAAGATCGACGACGAAGTCGCCAACAGGATCTCGAAAGCCAGTCAAGCCTTCGGTCGCCTCCAAAGCACAGTTTGGAATCGTCATGGTCTCCAACTGAGCACGAAGCTGAAGATGTACAAGGCCGTCATCCTGCCGACGCTACTGTATGGAGCGGAGACTTGGACGGTGTACGCAAAGCAGGCACGTCGTCTGAACCACTTCCACCTCAGTTGTCTTCGTCGCATCCTGAGGCTGAAGTGGCAGGATCGAATCCCCGACACCGATGTGCTGGAACGGACGGGAATCCTCAGCATCTACGCCATACTGAGGCAAATTCAGCTGCGCTAGAGCGGCCACCTGGTGCGCATGGACGACGAGCGACTACCCAAACGACTCTTCTACGGAGACGTCGCGACGGGTTCTCGCCGTCAAGGAGGCCCAATTCGTCGATACAAGGATACCCTGAAGTCCTCCCTGAAATGCCTGCAAATCAACCCCACCAACTGGGAGGAGCTCGCACTCGATCGACCGACCTGGAGGAGGACATTGAAGACAGGCGCTACGATCCACGAAGCCAACCGCATCTCTGCCGCCAAAGCGAAACGTGAAGCCCGCAAATCACAACTTCGCCCAGTAAGCAACGCCGCCGCACAACCGCTTTCAACGTGTCCTCGATGTCAACGGACATTCCGGGCTCGAATCGGACTTGCTGGACATCTTCGAACCAACTGCACCTCTCGAACTGCTCCAGCCATCGTCCCCGGGCCCGCCTCTTCCTCGTCCTCTCTTCCGCCAACTAACTCTGACACTCCTTCTGCACCACCACTTCCCTCCTCCTCCTCCTCCTCCACTGCCCCAGCGGTGGCCGTTCAGGCTGCCGTCTCACACATCGCCAACCACGACACAGCAACCGCAACCACCCCCACCTGCCCTCACTGCGACCGCACCTTCACCTCACACAACGGCCTGGTCGGTCACTTGCGAATCCATCGTACAGGGACTGGTGAACCAGTGCCTGGAGCACCAACCTACACCCATCGCTCTCGCCTCCACTGCCCACAATGCCCTCGCACCTTCCGGCATCGCATGGGCCTATTCGGCCACATGCGCATCCACGAGAGCGGCCTTGACCGCACTCCCGACACACCCACTACATCCAACACATCCACCGTGCACACCCCCACTCTCGTTCCATCCGTCCGCGACACCACCACCACCACCACCACCACCGCCTCCTCTGTAGCTGACACTGACACCGCCGACTTCTCATGCCCACACTGTCCACGCACATTCACCTCACGCATCGGCCTGGTCGGTCACTTGCGAATCCATCGCACAGAGACTGGCGAACCAGTGCCTGGAGCACCCACCTATACCCATCAAGCTCGTCTCAACTGCCCACCCTGTCCTCGCACTTTCAGGCATCGCATGAGCCTATTCGGTCACATGCGCATCCACGACGACCTGCGGTAGACAACCGCCGGCCACACCACACATTCACTCACTCCCTACCTCCTCCACCACCACCATCACCCCACCAGAAATCAACACTCACACACCTCACGCACCCAACTGCCACCTCCCACGCAAGTGGGAAGTGTGCATCTCGACTCGGCCCCATGCGGCTTCGGCTGCACGGGCGACTTGAGTCCGAGACTATCCCGACACGTCAAGCGTCGTGGATAGGAAGGTTGCTGATTGACGCCCGCTCTCGGTTCACGCAGTTCGTCGCGTTGTGTGTGTGTGTGTTGTGTGGAGTGGCGGACTGGTGGGCTGCGGACGAGCTGAAACAGCACCTTTCACGGCCCTCTCACGCAAGTGAGAGACACGCCGTTCAACCCCCGTTGTGTGAAATCCTGGTGTTTGTGTGTGTATGGGGGGCCAGGTCTGCTGTGGTGCGCGCAGACATGGTCAGTCGACCATGTCAGCCACCGCGCCCACTCCCCACTCCAGTCTGCTGACCGGCTCGGACAGCGGCTGGGGTGTGGGGATGGGAAGGGAGAGTGAGGTCGACTACTCAGTGCACTTTCTCCTCACTATAAACAATCTGACGCGCTTGAAGCTATCACGGTGCGCTAAAAGCCGTGGCTTGGAAGGTTGCCAACTGACGGGGTACCTTGGACCTCCTCCTTCACTGGAGGCGGTCTGAGAGTCAGGCTGCAATGGCTCCTTTTTAATGTGGCCTTTATGGCATTCCCACCACAGTGTGGGATCCGAGCCAGGCGTTGGCGGCACGCCCAGGTGCGGCTTCGGCCGTGCCAGCCTCCAAATCTCTGTTGTGTTGGTTGAAATCCTGGTTATTGCTGTGTGGACCAGGGGGTGTGGTGGAACGCCAAGGTGAGGATCCGTCCGAGCCATCCACCTGCGGCCTCCCTCGTCTCCGGTCTTCTTGACTCTGTCTTGACACCGGGTCCAGGCGGGGGAGGAGGAGAGAGTGTAGGTAGATGCTACGCAAGTCTACCGGCACTATAAACCCCTGCGTAAGTCACCGTCCCTGCTCCCATTGCTGCTGCAACTGTGGGGCACACGGTGGACATCATCGAAACCGATGGTCGAACTGTCATATTGTAAAGAAATTAAACAGAATTCCTGAATAAAGTTTCATAAACATTGGCCAATAGATGAAGTTAGCAGAAGAACTTTTTGAAGTCGTGCAATTCGGGGCACCGATAAGTGATACTATAGTACCATGACGACCGATATCAGCTTGACGACTGTGTCCTAAATTCCCGATTGTCCTTTTCCAGAGGCACGGAGAAAGCTGCTCGGAAAGGATAGGAAAAATTGATGCTTAATTAAGTCACTGTTAAGATGAAGAAACAGTCTAATCTTAAAAGCCTATAGACTAGTTGACGACCTTAGTTCAACTGAAAGGGTAGTCTGAAGAACGGTTTACCTGAAAGCGAAAAAAAGAGAACGTTTAAGTGTGAAAGAGGCGCGAGGAGGTATAATCAAGTAAAATCCATTATGGTTGTATGGGCGAATTCCAGGTGTAAGGACTGAACTCCGAGGAAGATTTTAACTCCTATAATGCGAAAAAGGAGGCAAAGGCCAGCTCTTCGTCTCTGAGCCTAGTCAAACTCCGACCAACTTATTCACGCCAAGCACGAACATAACACGAGGCAGGCGCGAAACCAAACAAGTCAAGAGCAGGAAACTATCCAACGAACGTCCGCGATGATAGAAGTGGGAGTGTTTGCGAAACGTAAGTGTAAGCACAACGTCCGTGAAATCGCCCTTTCCCATTCGCAGTCTTCGGGTGGATATACATATGTATAAAGGCTCGATGTCCAGGTGCATAACCGTGCTTAAATAGTCGAGAAATAAATACTGCAACCCTAGATTTTCCTCAAATACACTGATAAAAGTTAAGATTCGTATAGTTTCAATGGTTAATTATTTCAGAACTGGTTTAACAGTTGGTCATCCGCCTAGATGTAATTGCCTTTATACATTAGGGCAGCTGTTTGGATTGAAGTAAGCGTGCAACCACTGAAAACCTGTGTAAGTCAGTAGCTAATTATGAGTCTCTCTCTTCTCGAGTGAAGTGTGAATGCCGTCAGCACTAAATTCGGCGAAGGAATTTAATTTTTGCACAAGAATGAGCAATTCTACGGGTTTAGACGTAGCCAGGCGTTAAGCAGCTCGGCCGGAAGAGTCTCGAGGCTATCAATATGCTGGGCGACTGTTTTCCTGAAGGCGACAGCATCGTCCAGTTAAATAAAACAGCAGCTGCTATATAAGTGCGCCAACACAGCCAGCACTAAACTCTGGAGCGCGGCTACAGCGTTACAAAGACTAGAGGACATTGTTTGGAATCCATATGGCTCTTGCAGTAGAATTAAAGATGTTCTCCATCTGTCTTTTGGCTTAACTCCCACCTGTCAGTATCATGATTTTTGATCGGGCGTTGAATTTCAGTTCGAGCCCTCTAGCGCACCAAGTGTAACATCTAAGCACGGCGGTAGGAATGAGTTCACGTTTGTAGCAGCGCTCAGACGACGATAACTAATACACAGGTGTAGTTTATCATCCCCTTAAGAGTGGAACGTCGAACCACTACTGTGTCGAGATGTATCTAAATCATCTCACTAACTTCCTGCTGGAAGCGTGGGGAAATCTGCAATGCGATTGCCAGACAGGGCTGACAGATCCAGTTTCGATAACATGTCCAAATACCGTCGAAAATCCCAAAAGAATGGTCCCCAGGCGAAGGCATCCTCAAAGGTTACCAATAGCGACTTTAAAGAAACACGGTCGTGACCAGGGATAGTGGAATGATAGTGGGATGGGATTTGGAAAAACCTCGCCTATGCTAGTAATTGGTGGCAGAACGGCCTCAGAGATGGCCAAAACCCGCCCTCTGTATAGGGTGCAGGTGGTGGTGGTGGTGGTGGTGGTGGTGGTGGTGGTGGTGGTGGTGGTGGTGGTGGTGGTGTTGGTGGTGGTGGTGAAGGGGTTTGGGTGTGTCCACTTGCGGTCCACGTGACGATCGTGGTAGGTCGCACACTTGCCTTCAGGTTTAGGCAATGTCTAGCGTCCATTAACTGAATGCTAACACTAACATGTGGCTACCCGAAGCTTGCCTCTACCTAACAACCAGATCCCGGTAACCGCTTCTACCGTCAGACCAAACCGGGTGAGAGGATCCGTGTGTGCACCTCCGCACACGTCAACTTGGCTTCGCGCCCGCCATCGCTGGCTGGATAGATCACTATATCGCCGTCTCTGAGATGAGGCTCCGTCTGCAAACTCGCAGGAGGCCAAAACACTCGTCGAGCTGCTAATCCATTGGCTGGAAGGCCTACCCTTTTCTATTCCTTTACACCCGTTCGCGACCATTCTCTTCTGCCTCTCACTCTCTGTACTCTCTATTCTACTCTCGTTCGCAACGGTTGAAGATCCAATGGATCATTGCAATGCCACATTTAAGACGAAGCTTCATCTGCAACCCCGCGGGAGGCCACAAGATAAGTGCCCTCCCAGGTAAGCCGGATACTGCTTTGTCGTCTTTGCTTTTAGCTAGTTCTTGCTTGTTTGTCTTTAGCTGATTGTTTGTGTTTGTCCCTGTTGTAAGCTAAAAACTGTTTCGTTTAATCTTTCTACTTAGCGTTTATATGTCAGCAACCAATTAGCTTTGAAAGAGACGGGAAAATCTATCTCCCGTCTACTCTTCCTCCATCTATCTTCCCCCATTCAAAAGTCCTACGATGATAGCGACAGCGATCACGCAGGCGGCTCAGACTAACTCGGGTTGTTCTCCCGCTTAACAAAGTCGTGGCTCATAGTGCAGTCAGGCAGACGTCTGGGATGTCTGAGCATCACCAGCTAGGGACGGCACTGCCTGCTCATGCGACGGGGATGGGGCTAGATAAGTGCCTGAACAAATGGTAGGATCACGTCCTCTGTGCGCTTACCGCGGCTCTTAGACTCAAAACACACAGTCGAACCAACCAAAGATGAAACAATACTCTCACTCGCTTCCCTTTTCTCCTGTCCATCGCTTCAACCCGCAGGCTGCTACGGTGATTCCGCTCACTCTGGCAGCCTGTAATGTTTGTTCTCTTTTATAAAATCCGAGGAACAGTCGACAGGAACCGACAACGGCGCCAATTGCTCGGCAAGTAGCACGCTTCAAGGTGGACATCGCCGCACTCAGCGAGACCCTGTTCTTCAAACAAGGCCAGCTGGAGGAAATGGATCCGGGTTACACCTTCTTCTGGAACAGTCGACCCAAAGCAGTGTGAAGTAACGCGGTTGTCGCCTTCGCTATCCGGAACGACATCGTGCGACCTTTGCCCTGTCTGTCGCAGGGCGTAAACGACCGCTTAATGAGCCTCCGTCTGCCTCTCCGAGGAGGCGAATGCACGACTATCGCTAGCGTCTACGCTCCGCCAATGATCAAATCTGACGTGGAAAGGAACAAATTATACAAGGATCTGCACGTCCCCCCCGGCGTCTGTAAAAAAGCCGATTAGTTGATTTTTCTTGGTGGCTTCAACGCCGGCATCGACACAGACCATGCCGCTTGGAGAGGAGTGTTAAGTCCGCATTGTCTAGACGGCTTCAATGACAATGGCCTACTCCACCTATGAACCTGCACAGAACAGAATGCTTACTTCTGCCTCTCGATGAGAGAAAAGGTCACCTGGATGCACTATCCATCGCCACAATGGCACAGGTTAGACTATGCCCTCGTCTGAAGGCGAGACCAGCGGGAGTTGGTGCTGACAAAGACGATCCCGACTGCCAACGGATGAACCAACAAGTGTCTCGTCATCTCCGATATGAGGATTCGCACACAGCCCTTACAATGGACCTTAAGGTAATCTACTCCCAAGTAAGGTGAATATTGTTTTGTTGTCTGCCTGCTCACCGTCTCCTATTCAACAATGAGCCAATCCTCCAGTCTCCGCCGCCGCCACTGACGAGAAAGCGTCAGAAGATAACCGATGGTGTCAACTCTGGAACATGGTCCGTTCAGCCGCCCTGACTGCCCCCCATCGCGCACGCCATCAGCATCAGGATTGGTCCGACAACAATAAAGCCACCGTATGCGACCTACCCACTGTACAAAGCCAACATTAACCGCCACAGCGAGGACGAAAAAGCAGCCCTCTATTGTAGTCATGTCCTTGTGAAACAGCGGCCGCTGGAGGACGGCTGTACGGCTTGCAAGGCCGAGGAGGTCCAAGGACACGCGGACCCCAACGAATAGAAGGACTTCCTCGTTGCGATCAAGGCTATCTACGGTCCTAAAGGCAAATGTACCGCTCCTTTTCTCTGCACCGACGGAAATAACTGAGAAGAGCGCAATCACCAGTGATAAGCCGATCACTTTAAAGACGTCACCAACCGCTCCTCCACCGTCTTCGCCACCGCCGTCGGCCGTCTGTCTCAAGTGCAGACCAACTCCGACTTCGACCTCCAGCCATCAGTGCCGTTCAGCTGCTTCCCAGTTTGAAGCTGCCCCGATTTGACGTGATCTCTGATGAAATCTACACGCACAGTGGACCACAAACTTATAGAACACCCAACGGCGACTTTCTCGAAGATGTGGCGTCAAGGAGAAGTCTCCCAAGTTTTCAAGTACGACACAATTTTCCACCTTTTCAAGCTCAGAGAGAACCGCCAACTCGGCGACAGCAACAGAGGAATCTCCCGCTGAACATCGCAGGGACGCTAATCAGGGCAATAATGATGATTATGTTCGTGGTGGTGGTTGTGGTGGCGGCGGCGGCGGCGGCGGTGGCGGCGGCAGTTGTGGTTCATAAGCAATCCAAAAGTTGACATATTGGATGTGCTTTAGTCATATATACTTCGCTAGGAAGTCAGCCCCTCGTAAATCAATACAGGTGACTGTTGGGTTGACCAGAAATGTACTTTCATTAGTACTGGTTAGAAATGCGACCGACAACATGACTGATCCAATGGAATGCATCTTTGATGCACCTGCCAGATTTAAAGGGTCAGCGAGGGGAACTAGAAAGCCGAAAGCTTTCCCGTTGCCAACGCTGGTCGATGTACTAGGATGGCATTCGGTCAGAGCATTAGTTGTCATAGTCAGCCGGGCCAATTGCCTCAACTGTGATGCCATAAGGACAGCTCGTTCGAGACCGCCCAGTGAGTAAATGCGCGGGGAATACGTTACATTCTTAGACTTCATGTCCAATTTAAAATAATAAAGGATGATCTTATCTCTACCGGTTACCTCTTCCTTCGAAGTCCTTTGAGACCAGCTCTATCAGCTAGTTCAGCCAAAGGTTACGATCGAGGAAACGTTACATTAACTATATAGGTGGCGCTGCTGGGTCGGTGAGAGGCACCGACAATTTGCCGATGGACTTATGGGCTTGGTGACTGATGCGTACACCACGCTAGCGGCAGCGGTAAGATGAAGAGGAGCACCAAACTCTCGCCCTCCTCAAAGCACCAACCCGGACTACGCTGCGAACAGTACTAAACCTAAATGGAGAAAATGTAACAAATTACGAGAGTGAATTTTTTAAATGAAGTAGAGGATGGTAATTAAACAGACACGAGAGAACGCTCCTCGAACTAAGGAACCTATGATATGACAATGACCGTATAAAAGTGTAGTAGAGAAGCAGTACAAAACATGAATGAATATTACAGATGCAGCAATCCTGTCTAAAGTGATACGAGCTCAGTCGCCACATAGACCCCAAACAGCATTCGCTCCCTGGGGAGGTCTTTCATCTCAGTCAGATAACATATCAATCTCGTGGTATGCTATGCTGTCTCCTCATAGGTGTAGCACCGGCCTCAGTGCAATCTGGGTGGGTTCTAGAAAGAGGGGGAGAGTTATGTGCTCCTCTTCATCTCACTGCTGCCGCAAGCGTGGTGTACGTGTCAGTCACCAAGCACGTAAGACCCTTGGCGAATTGTCCGTGAGTCTCACCGACCCAGAAGAGCAGCCAAAACAGCTAGTTAAATGTTTCCTCGATCACGACCTTTGGTTGAAATAGCCGATATAGCTGGTCGCAAAGGGCTTCAAAGGAAGCGGTAGTAAAAAGAGCGGCTTTGAGAGCTCCGTACAGCGACTCATCCGTCAACATACTGAAAATCAAACCGGTGAGTTGAGCAGTTAGAGCCGCATCCAAGTAGAGGCGGGGTCGTCAGGGCCAGTCACGGAAATCCATTTTACCACCAAACAAGCGAGAAGTGAGGAGAATGGGGTTGTCTGTGGAGCCCGACGTAGAGAGCGTACTAGCAGACTTTGCGGGGCTACTACCAGTGTGATGTAGGGCGTCTCAGACTGGCCAGATTTGATCTCCTCATTTGCATAAAACTTGCTAAATTCTTTCTCGATGTCTCCAATCAATTTACTTCCACCTTCGTCCGAGTCCTGAGAAGGCAATCCGCTGTTATTCACTCTAGAAAACAGTGAGTCAGGCACTGAGTTAAATTATGAAGTTGCGTCTAAGTTTATTGAAATCAAAACGTTACAATCTCTGGAGGTCGACGTAACGAAGACTTTTCCACCAAAGCAATCAGCCCGACTTACTTGTTTCACTGACCCTGCCTTGACCAGTGGCGGCTGTCCACTTTCTAGCATGCTCGCTAGATCAACTAAAAGGCGGAAAAAAAGAAAGAATTTAAACCTATATCGTCCATAGTGGTTAGGAAAACGGTTTAAAAGTTTAATTAGAAACCGGATGTTAGTAAACAAAACACTATGTTTTAACTCACTACTTTGCCCAGTCACGATTGGCCGTTCAACAAAGTTATAATCATTCAACCTATAAAATTTGGTTAAAGGTGCGCGCGACCCTTTGGATGCCAGTGGCGCGGGCTACGACTGGGGTGTTGTGCTGATCTCCCATCTGCCCATGAGACGCGTCCTGTGGAAACGGATCAAAAATAGTAGCTAAATCTAGATGGAATGCGATTCAGAAAAGTACAATCTCTGCCATTTTGATGGCGGTATTACATACAAATTGCTGCCGGCGAACCTCTCATCCTACACGCGGCAGATCGGCGGCTTTAATCCCGACAGGAAACAAAAATTTAAATGTGAGCAGTATGCTTATGTAGATCAGTAATTTGAAAAGAACTTTTAGTTATGAGACTTATTGATTGTTTAACATCAACTTGTGGACTAGTAAAACTATCATTGTGAATGGTACAGAAGGCGCGTTGTTTCTGGCACTGATGATAATCGCGCTAAGTGAAAATTATTGCGCTGTCACTATATGCGATATTATTTCAACCTGGGTCCCAGTTTAGCTATTCATCTGAAAACGAATTTGTGCGGAAAGGATAGTAAGCACCTGTCATCCTCACGTGCATCATATTAATGCGACTGAGTTTCCCTTGATGAAGTTATATATAACTTGGCAATGCACGCATGATCCTGTGTTCTACGTTCCCGGATGCTTATGTCCGATGATATAGTTATGTTGCTTCGAGAACGTTGCCCTCCAGTAAGCTTTTATTCCGGATGTCTGGGCTGTAATCACTGTTTTTCGTGTTTTAACGTTTTCTATTTGACTGCCTTGTAATGAGGACCAAGGTAATCGAACCACAAGCAAAGCAAGCGCACTTTACTTTTGACCATTCTACTGTGAAAGCTGGCCTGACAGAATTTCTATGTGACGCCCGCCTCCCGTTCAAAGTTCTATTGAGAAAATTGAAGTATCCAAACTGTCAATATTCCCTAGTCATAAGTATACTTAAGCACCGTTGATTATGTATGCATCGTACCTAATTTATTGCAGCCTAGGATGCGGACACTCAGTAACACAATTACCCCTTCCTTGACACAGGAAATAAAAACTCCCCCTACTGTGAGTGACATTTTATATCTTTTAATGTCAAATGAATCACAATTCATCTTTGACAGTTGTTTTTCATGTCCCCCGTACCACTAATGACAGTCTCTTTCGTGGCGCGCTTTGTCACATGGTGCACTGAGTTGTGTCATTTCTTGTTGGCATCGATGAACTGCAAACCTCGCAACCACGTCGTCCGGCGGCGTAAGATCGGCAAAACACGCGTGTCTATGCTGCCAGAATGGCAGACATCGTTCAGCGTTTGTATACTACTAGCTGCCTGTTAGCAACTTACAAGCACTATGCTGTTATTCCACAGTAACTACTAGATTTCCGCCCAAATACTCATAAGAACTTTCTGAGCGAGCCTAGAAAGCTGTGTTTTGAGGGATTTGCTGCAAATTCGCGCACTAATTTCGGATGGAATTAAAAAAAGATGATGTTGTTCTTAGTGCTATGTCAATGATGGAAGTTCGCCCAACTGCTACTACCTTGTGCCAAACCTACTTTCTTACTTTGTACGGCTGCGATCATGGCTGGTTTTGCCGGTCCCGATGATAACTGTACCTCTCCACACGTGACGATCCGCGGCAACACGTCTGGACAGTTCAGCCCATTCTCTTTGCCTACGGCAGAGACTGAATACCGAAGGTCCAAAAGCACTTCCATGGCTTGGCGAACTGCGTAGAGCCAGGATTTGAGTTTATTTCCACTTAGCCTCCAATGGGCTAACAATGCCGGATTAAGGGCAGTAACACTGAGCTCCCGGGATGGACGACGGAGAATCTGGCCAAACCACATCAATCGTCTGGTATGGCCCGGATGAACCGTGCGATATTATCGCAGCAAATGCGGGCTGCCGGTGTACTTAACTCGCGGCAAAGTCAGCGAAACGGACGGGCGTCAGTTGTTCGTAGATATGACGGAGTTCAAGAATGTACCTCCGGTTGAATCCCTGGTCCGCACATCCACGCCCAGCGCGGAATCCGGCTTGGTCGGATCTCTTTCTAAAGTCACGCACGGCCTGGAATCGCCTGAAGACGATTGCGGAGATTCCCACGGCAACATCGATGAGCCTTACGCCGCGGTAGTTCCGCATCCAGTCTTATCACCCTTTTTAGGGTATATACAAGGATACTTGAGCCCTAGTCATCAGAAGCAACCTTGTCTCTCCATGCTTGTTCAGTCACCTCATGGAACCAGGGCGCTAGAGTGTCGACACAAGATGCAAATTTCAGCGGGGGTATGCCGTCTTCTCCGGATGCCTTGTTCTTGCGTGACCTTTGTATGGCGTCAGTGACTTCCCCTCCAAAAGCGCGGGGGCTGTATGACACTGCGAAGTTGTCAGCAGTAAGGCAGCCATTCACGTCGCGAACAGTCACGCAGTGTAGAGCGCTTACCACTTACTTAGCGGTTAAGTTGGCATAGTTTTCGAATGTCACCAACGTTCGAGGCCCGTTCCACGGATGTCGCTATTCCAGTCCAATATTGTTTCTGGTCATCCCTGGCCAACTTTGCCATCATGTTCCGGAGTTGGCGAAAGGATTCATCATTATGGGACCTAGCTCGAGCCGTCTGAGCAGACAACTTCAGGGTTCTTCCACTGTCCAGTTACTGCTGCGTTGCTGGTTATATCCAGGAATTTTCTTAACTGCCCCATAAGCGGATGAGAGGTGGGCTTTCAAGTGTGTGAACAAGGATAGGGTCCGACCCATGGGGGTAACCAGTCTGATAACCACGTATCGGTCTGTTATCTTGCACAAAGCTCCGAAACTTTGAGCTGACTAGGATGTAGTCATCCTGACTGGCCTTATGAGCGTCGTTTGATTATCAGGTCAGCAGATGCTTGTTGGAATGCTCGGACCGTGTGTTGGTGACAAACAGTCGGTTCTGATCAGCAAAGTTAAGCAATCTCTCACCATTGACAAATCGATAAACAGGTCCAAAGCCGCAAGTAAGATGACTGTGTAGTCACCAGG